GAACAATAATAAAAGTACAATTGACAATTAAACAAATATTCAACTTTCTATCAAAAAATGAGTCTATGGGTTTTTTTAATTCAAATTGAATTTTGAATAAAAAATAACACCCCATTTTTACCAAGGCAGAGGAACTAAGGGGACTAAGAAATTCTTTAATTCACAATTCAAGAATTCTTTGGTTCCTTGTTTCCAGTTCCTTATAAAAAAGGGGACTAAGGGGACTAAGGGGACTAAGGGGACTAAGGGGATTAAGGGGACTAAGGGGATTAAGGGGACTAAGGGGACTAAGGGGACTAAGGAGACTAAGGGGACTAAGTGGACTAAGGGGAGGGAAAAGAGCAAAACTCTTCCCCCCTCACCCACACTTTCTCTCTCTCCCCCCTCACCCACACTTTCTCTCCCCCCTCACCCACACTTTCTCTCCCCCCTCAACCACACTTTCTCTCCCCCCTCACCCACACTTTCTCTCTCCACCCCTCACCCACACTTTCTCTCTCCTCCCTCATTTTCTCTCCCCCCGCCTTAGCCCCCTTAGTCCCCTTAGTCCCCGTAGTTCCCTTAGTTCCCTTAGTCCCCTTAGTCCCCTTAGTCCCCTTAGTCCCCTTAGTCCCCTTAGTCCCCTATTTCAATTTGAAATCAAGTGCTCTTTTTTCTGTTTAAATTCAGATTGAAATTAAATAACCCATAGTATGGTCCAGTCCGGCATCCATTTTCGACTCTTCGAACATGTTTCAGCACCTCAGCACTCATCGAAGTTTCGAGTACTCGGCGTCAGGAAATTTATCAAAAGAAAACTAATTTTGATTGCATGATACATCTTCAAAAAAGTGTCTTTGAAATGGTTTTTTGTTATTTCACAATTTTCTAAGCAATATTTAATATAAACTGATGAAAACTAAGAGCAAAATTTGTCATCATCCTAAACTAAGATGTGGTCATAACGTGTTTTTGCTCTTTGAACAGCTGAAAAACAAACTTCAAAGCATTGTCTTTTTATGAATTGAAGAGATGAATTTCATAGAAGAAAAATAGTCCATATTTAGTTTAGATGTTCGACAGAAGTTAATCATAAGTACCCATGTTTGAATCTGCTTCTATCCGCATATTTGATAAGTTTCGACGACTCGGGAATGAGACATGTATGGGACATAATTCTTTTTATTTTGATCATTACGATCTTCTCGAAAACAATCGTTCGAGTGGTTGAATACTACGTGCAGAAAGGATCCATCGTCGAGCATTCGACTTATCGGAAAGTGAGAATCCGAGCTATACGACAGACCATGACATCATATCAACATTTCTATCGATCTATCAGTAGATCATGTTTTACAGAAGCACTTCAATAGTGAAACAGGAGTTTCACGTAATTTTTGAAGTGATTCAGAGATAGATATGACTAATTGAGAAGTTAATTTGACTGTTATAAGATGAGAAAAGTGAAAAATGACTCCTGTCAGTTGGATGTAAGTATGAATGTGATTGAGAGCTCGGGCGCGTTCTACGCACACTCTCACCTAGCTTCAAGATATTTTGAAGAATATGGTTAACAATAATCAATAAAAATTATTTGAAATCATTGTAGAATATGCAGACACCATTTGAATGTCAAAAAGAAAAGTTTTTGTCTTGATTTTATAAGATGATCTTGGAATACAATTTTTGTCACTGGTGCATGATTTAACATATCTATATCTATAGATTTGAATAGAAAGGCAATGGATTATTGTTAATAAATTTAATAAGATGTTCAACAATTTCATGTGGCTTGTCTTCCTGTAAGAAATGACCACCTTGAGTGATTATAGCATGTGGTTGGTTCTTAGCACCTGGTATCAACATTTGTAAAAATTTTTCTGCGCCAGCTGTTATCGGATCTGAATCAGAGAATAAAGTTAAAAATGGTTTATCGAACATTTGCAAATTTCCCCATGCATCACGATTATATTGCGATGAAGGATCATCGGGTGTCGTAGGTACCAATTGCGGAAATACTAATGCACCGGCTTGATAATTTTCATTTGGAAATGGAGCATTATAGGCAACAATTTCTTCTGGTTTCATTTCTCTTATAATTCCACGTTTTATTATTGAACCAACATCCATTTTCGTTTGTTCCGATGCAAACTTTTGCCATTGAAAGAAAGCGTCAGAAACTTTTTGATCACCTGTAGGTAATCCACCATTGGCAACAACAACCCGTGCAAAACGATTACCTATTCCATTTGTACCAACTAATTGTAAACCAATTAAACTGCCCCAGTCCTATATGGGACAGAGAAAAAAAAATGATTGTTTAATTTACTTATTCCAGAGATCATATCAACCTTATTCTACGGAACAAGTGCCATTATATACGAAAAATTATTTATGTACAAGAGAGTGACTTAGCTAACGAATAATTCCGCCTGGTACCACTTACTACTGTAGTTGAGATATCGTACACGATAATGGAGTTCTTAGAATATGTTTAGCAATGATTGCAAAGAAGAGATTTCGCGTAAGATTCAAATAAAGACCGACTCTGATTAAGTCGTGTCGTGTCATAAAAATTTTGGCTGCTTCAATTTACTTAACATAGTATTACAGTGTGATTATAAGCAAAAAACCACAAATCACGTAGAAATAACACATTGTTTTCAGTAACGATCAAGTATTATGTGGAGAATGAGAGTCTGGATCGAGTCAGGTTTAAAAACTTTCAAAATTCTAAGCAATATCTTTGTACTCTGGTTCTAGTTTTTATGACTATAGAAGGACTAAAAGTTTTCTCAAAGATCCTAAATTCTTATCATACCAACTAAATCTACATATGGATTCTATCTGACGTTGCGCTTCAAGTCTGCTCAGAATTAACTGACAATATTTTGATAATCAAATTCTAATTTCAGGAAGTAGAAATTTTCCATAATCAAATAGTTGAGATTTTCAAATTTTGAAGAATAGACAAGAGTGTGTACATCTATAGGAGAATATCACAATGAAACGTATTATAAATCATTTCGTTGATAATGGGATACTTTTGAAAGCAACCATAAAAGAAAGTTTTAGTGAACATGAAACTTTGTTTTAGGATTACACTTAAGTTTTGAGAGGAAATCATCCAAAAAAAAATGGTCAAAGTAATATATAGTATATGTATCAGCTTTCGATGTTCTTCTGAAATAAATATATCTGAAGTTGACATCATCTTCAAATTTCATGCTTAAATTTAAAAAGAAATATGATTTTTGAATGGAGAAAAATCCCATGTTTCAGAAATCTTTCTTTTCAATTTGTAGCTGAATACTTGACCTTTATTGGAAGATAATTAAGATTCATAAAAATCTATATAAATTTATTTGAGTAAAACAATCATTGTATAGACGTGACTTTTGTTCCCAAATTTATATAGATTACAGGCATTATCTGATCTCTTTGGAGTGTGTCGTAAGTATTAGTACGTGAAAAGCATCCGTTTTATATGCGTTTAAGTTGAACTTTATTCCTACTAGTAGTAGTTTTATAAGTTAGGACACTCATGATGAACGTGCTGCCTTTAAACTATAAAGATTACCTTTCGCATTCTTTGAGAAAAAATCGCGATTTCGTATTTCTTAGAGTGGGATCATACTTCTGGTACGTTTCAAAAAAACTCTATCGCAATGTTTGGTTACATTTTATTTATGCTCATTTTTTCCACTATAATTCAAGAAAGTAGATATAACTAGGTCTCACGAACGGTCCTCATAGCAGCACTATAATTTGTCAGTTTTGCGACTCGCCGTAACCTTTTCAGATCCATGTGTGCATGCTTCCTTCATGTTTACCTGGCAAAACAATGTAATATTATTTAAATTTAAAGATTCAATAGCTTCCCTTATCCAGTTAACATGTCTTTGGTATGTATAATCGACTTTATTCATTGGTTTATCCGATTTACCAAATCCAATTAAGTCCATAGCAATTACTCGATACTGTTTTAATGATGGTATAAAATGACGGTATAAATAACTCCAACTTGGTTCGCCGTGTAATAATAAAATTGTTTCGCTGCTATTCTTATTTCCTTCGTCTAAATAATGTAGACGTAATTTTGTTTCTCCATTACCAATACCGCCGGGATTTGATAAATCAATATAATTCGGTTTAAATGGATAATCTAATAAGTCGAGGAATGCGGAATCGGGTGTACGTAATATACCGGTATTTGATGACATTGTATGAGTTCAATTTCTAAATGGAACTCTAACGATAGTCGAAAGAAAGATGTTTTATATCGGCTATACCAGATACAGTGTTTAGTATAAAAAGGGCCCATTCACAAACAAACTATTTTATTTTTCCTTGGAATTCAACCAAAATTTTTGGAGAATGTTAGTCTTGGCTGGAGTAGAATATAGTTAAAATATCTCCCCAAATCTGTGAGATATTCACGAGTTACAGTCAATTTATTGGTCAAAAGTACCCTGTACGTGAGCGAGATTTTCATAATCAAGATACGAGCTAACATGCCCGGGCGATTTTTAGGTTGTAGAGTGCCTTTAGGACTAAATCCTCAGAGAGCTCGATTTTTGAAATTCCCATTGTTTGTTTTGTGAAAAATCTTTTCCGAGAAATTCTCGAATTCATGTCCAAAAAAATCGCTGATAAAAATAAAATATGTAAGTTTTTTAGTTCACCAAAAGAGGAATTCAAAAGTCAGGCTCTCTTAGGATCTAGTCCTAACTGTTCTCTATGCAATAAAAGAAAATTATCACTTCTATATTGAGTCGTTATTGAGTGAGGTTTGCCCGTCCAAACAGTATACTCGAAAAAAAAACGGATTTTAAGAAAAACGGAAAATAAGTTTCCAAAAACCTTATTTTTTTTTAATATAGAAGTTCAGAAAAACCTATGTAATATCCTTAAAGCTCATCATAAAGTCAATCAACTATCGTGCATTCGAGAGGGACACTTTGCTGTATCTAACGAGCTATAAATCACAAAACTGATAAATTTGATAAAAATTGACTTCGTCTGAAGGGGCTCCTTTATGCGACTTAACTTTCTGTGTTACTTTTTTCTTTATTTCTCTCTTGTTTCTTTTGTGCTCCCTCTGAATTCGCATTAAATAAAGTCTGTTTATGGTGCATATTAGTTATATCATTTTTGAAAATATGAATACAAACAGAAGAAACAAGGGAATTCATCTTTTTGTAGTACGCTATTGCACGAGCAGTGATGTGGTGAAAACAATGAAGAAAAAGTAACGAAAAAAATTTGTACAGTACACAGTCATGAAGAGATGTTTTGATTTCACCCTTCTAATAACCGAAGGATTGTGATTAAATTGGCTGAAATTTTTAGAAGACAAAGAAATAGATGGATTCTATTTGTAATCAGAACGTCGACAATAATTATTACCATTTCACGATAGTAAAATGAATTTTTTCGAAGGTCTCTCTTCTTGACGTATAACCAGCTTCTTATCTTTCTTACTTACCTCACCTTTGCCTGTTTGAAAAAAAACGAACAAATGAGGAGAATATAGTCTTTGTCTCACCTTTTATTCATTACAAACGATAGCAGAAACTCAATGTTTATCTTATTGTTATAGCTGACGGGTGAAGGTGTGTGTAGATGAAAAGAAAGATTCATATTCTTACCCAATTTTAAAAGATTGACACCTACTTAGTCAGTCAAATGCGAGGGTATGAGTGTGGGTGTTTACATGTAGGTTTGAAGGTTGTGGGTGCGGGTGTTCGGGATGAGGTTTGGGGATTGTAGATATAGGTGTGGTATGGCTGTGGGTGTAAGTGTTTGGGTGAAGGCTTGGAAGTTATGGGTGCGGTTTTTGATATTTTCTTGATTCGCACACACATGCGCAATCATATTCATACTCTCCCTCATACTGATATTGGTATCTATACTCACATCGATACCCATACTCATTCCCTTAACAAATTAATTTCATTTCCTTTTCTTGCGACTCACAATTCGAAAGCTTATCGAAAAAAACATGTTTATTCATCATTGATGTACACCTTCAGACTGCTTCTGTCGATAATTTCACTAGTAATGAAAGAAAAAGGTAATCGTTTTTCTCTCAATTTTCTGTTTGAACTGTCACGTATCAATGTCTAGAATGAAACTGTGATGCATTCATTATCATGTATGTTTGAATTATCACTGTGAGCAATTGAGTACAGACTACGAACAAGTAGATGGATAGCAATGAAGTCAGAAGTTGTCGCATTATCAGTACGAATATCGTCGATGGATTCTTTAGGCTATGTCGTCCTATCACAGGCTATGCTAGTGAGCCTCTACTCTCATTGGAAGAAGCATGCCAGCCGTTGCAGTCACTTATCGACGAGTTGCCTACTTATGTTTCGATAGCGACAAGGATTGATCGTATCCCAGTTGATGATTTGTCTGCAGATGAGTCTGCAGCTATTTATCTCTATACACTGGAATGGACGGCATGGGAAAAAGTCTTTATATCATACGTAATCAAACTCTCCGCGCTCTAGATCGATTACACGACGTTGAGACCATGGTTTAAATATCTGAACCATTTCTCATCGCACTGGCTACATGGCCCAACTCATTAGGTACTGATCGGCAGGAAATTATTTATCGTGAATTGAAAATGGACATCAGTTCACTTTATCCAAGGGGTTCCTTTGTCACTTGATGGTTATTTTCTTCATGCACAAAGTCTCTTAGTTTACTTGAATCAGACAATTTTCTAGGTAGAACAGGTGATAGAACTATATTCAATATTGAGACACCCAATGGGAAAAATATTTCTGCACACTCGCATTTTGGTGCAGAAGATGAAGTTCTCTTGCTGTCAGAGTCCTGTTTGAAAGTTGTGTCACAAGTTAATCTAGTACCCCAGTTCCATATTATTCATTTGAGAGAGCAAAAACCTTCTGCATGCGTTCTCGAAGCTCCGTTCGAAGGTACATTCAATAGAATTTTACACTTATACATCATTTTTCTTGTTTAAATGCATTCAATATCGGAGATGGCATCACAAAACCTATGTAAGTGTGCTTTTTTTTGAAAATTTCCTTCTCGAACTATCTTTGTTTGAATGTTTCACGAAGGATGAGAAGATCATGCTATAAAAAGAAAGCATTTATTGTTACCATGTTTTGTTTGGCTATTATGGCTATTTTGTCGGTTATTCTTGCACTAGTTTTAACTATCCAACGAAAACGAAAGTACAGTTGTTTCAAGTAGGTATGGACAATTTTCTCTAGCACTCATCTTGCTTTCATTGCAGTTCTACCAAACATTCTTCAAGATGCCACGTAAGTAAAGTTAGCACCAAATTCAACTATTTCTTGTTCTGATTCGCTATCTTACCTGTGTTAACTCTATAAGCAGTTGTGTTAGGTGCAGAATTTATTTTTCTATCCAATGGTACTATTTTCAAGCAGTGTTAACGGGCAACAAAAAAGAGGAGTTACACCCCAAATACTAGGTTCAGGACCAGATCCAGAGTGTAAGCCTTGTCTCGATTTTCTGTACTAACTGTGTTTACTTTCTAATGGGTTGAATTGTATGAGAAAGTTGATTCACTATGGAAGGGTACAATATTGTAGGGAAGAACGGACGAAAAATATCGCTGTTGCCCAACGTGTTGGGACTTGCCGCCTTGTTTTAGAAGGAAGCTCTCGCTGGTTTGGTCCAACGATGTGCATTATCTGTCGAAAGGGAAACAGTATGCAAAAATTTCGTTTTTTATGTATTGGTGAGTATTGAAATGAAAATTTGTTTGGTCAAGGATGGCTTTCGGAGTTTTTACCAGCGCTGCTGCGCAGAGCAATAATTTTATCCTCATTTAGCAGTTTTTACTATTGAAAGGTTTATTTTCAGTCTATTAAAGTCGGAGTTTAGTTTATTTGTAATGCATAGATTTGGTGAGAGGGAGAGTTTCGGTCAGACGAAAACTTGTCGTCTATATAATATGCTTCCTTTATCTGCTTCACCGATGGTTAGAAACTTTACAGAATATCTATGAGACCGGTGAAATGTAAATAGCTTTTTCGGTCTTTGTAGTTTTATGATAGCTCCTCGCATATTATTGATGGATTTTATTCGTCTTTGTGCTTCAAGGTGATGAACAATGTTCATGAAGGTGTACAATTCAGATTTCGCTAAGTTTTCAAAATCACATGATAATGCAAATTGAATGATATGGCTGTATGTCTATTTTTTTCATTGAAGAAAATTCAACAGCTCTGACGAAGTAATCGAAAACAAAATATATTTTAGACATCACATTAATGTACAAACATTGTAGAAAACAATATTCATATAAAGCAGTGATTTCGATAAACGGTAACAATAGCAAAAAATCAAGTTAGGAAAAACAAAAGAATAACCAGCGTTAAGTTTCAATCAATTTGTTTATAAAAAGCACGCACAACAGTTACAATAAGTAGCATGAAATATCAGCAGTCAGAAAAAAGAACAGTAGTTATGCATATGAAACAATAATAAAATTATGTGCACGCATAAAATTGAATAGTATTAGATTATTTTCAGGAAAAACTCCTGAACATGCAAAGCAGATACAGCAAAAATGACTTTTAGCAGTTCATCGTGTGGAAAACATCCTTGTGGATATATATCATTAAAACGAACATATGTACCGTCATTTGTTTTAATAATTGCAGTGAAATGACTGTACGTGTTATTAAAGCTTCCCAAGAGATGGTACCTAAACGTAGAAGTGTTCCAGAAATTTGTGAAGCTTGGGTAGATTAACTTACTGGTGTGGACCAATGTATAATGAATCAGGCAGTTCCACCATTAGTCGTTCATCTGTTTCAATGTGTGAATTTCATCAAATAATATAAAACTTTGTCGCTTGATGGATTCATAGAATGGTGCATATTTATTGTAAATGTTAGGTTGTTGCAGATTTTTATTGATCGAATGATTATTCATTTGTGTATCTGAAAAAAGAATACCATTAGATCGAAAGCATTACAAAGAATAACTTGAGAAGTTTACTCAAAAGGTCTCTATGAATACAATTAATTAATCTTTCGAGTAATATTAAGATTCAAAATTTCAGCAAGTGTTCACCAAAAAGAAAACAACGACATACTACAAAAAAAGATGGTAAGCACATTTTAGATAACTCTTATCTCTATTCTTCTCCTTCTTTTCTTTTTTCACGTAAAGTCAAGAATGAGAACAGCATTTATTAAATTGTCAAAACACGAAAGAGAAAAAGATGGTTCTGTGGAGAATCGGACGATACAACTCGATATATTAAAGTTTTTTGATCATTAAGAAGTTGATATAAAAATTAGTGCAATAGATTATGTGTGTAAGAAATATTCTCACTTGCCTCGAATCGCTTTTCGTGTGCTGTCGGGGTCTGGGTGTGGGATGTAGATGTGAGTATGGGTGTGGATGTGGCTTTGAACGACACCCACACCCACATCCCCACACTCACATCCTTCGCTGTTAATGTTTTTGATGTCATAAATTTGTAGGTCGTTTCCAGAGTTAGTGAAATCATTATTTGAATATCCATTACAAGCAGTATTTCATGGAGAAAAGCGAAAAACACAAAGTATCTTAAACTTTTTTCCATCACTTTAGTTAAAACATTTGTAAACCTATTCCAATCATTCAAATTTCGAAGAAGACTTTGAAATATTTCTGAATTTTCGAGAGCAGTCTAAGTCTGGTTGTTAATGTCGTTCAACGTCTTTTTCTGTTGCTAAGGAACTCTATGAAAAGAGTTTGACGCCTATTGTCCTTTGTGCTTAATATCTGTAATAGAGGAGAGGAACTACAAGACTTCGACTTGAAACTCACATTCACTATTTTTCTCGAAAATATATCTGAGTTCCATAGAAACAAAAAAATGAAGTTCAATACCAATGGCAGTCGAAAATCATTTATAATCGTTCCATAAAATAACTATCTGCTGATGTAGCATAATCTTATATTATTTTCATACCATTTTCATATTCAACTGATTGATTCAGTTCATTTCCTATTCCAAAAATGCTCTTCGAAACAAACAAAGCTTTAAAATTTTGCTGAAAATTGTGTAAAAAAAGAAAGAAAAATATTGATAGTAAGTGTCAGAGCGTCCAAAAGTGTTTGACTCTCTCCCCTCTATCAAGATATGTCAAGTTTGGATGCACTCCATTCACTTGAACGTCCTTTATAGGTCACCTTAGACCCAAAGAGATTTTTTTCAAAGAACAATAATTTCTTTTGAGCTTAATTTAATTTTGCCATGATAATAATAATAATAATTTTTTGTTGAGAAAAAAGGTAATCATCAATTTTGGTAATACTTGAATGACAGAATCAAAAAAAATAATAACGTCACTAGACAGTAGGAGATACAATCATTATCATTCTTGTCCAATGAAAAACTCAACAAAATTATATACTTATGCAAAGAATAAATGGTGCTACGATAAATTAATATTCTGTTCTTTTTGTAACCTGAATAGAAATTTACAAAATTCGAATCGAATTCGATGAAGTTAGCGATGAGACTAAGATTCAAAAAGCTATCAAATTTCTAACTGATGGTAACTACAATCCATTTATTGATTGGCATTTTTCAAAAACATATTTCCTTTTATGTTCTTTTGAAAATCATTTTTTGTACAACAAGAAATAGTTTAAGTTCGAAATTCATTTAGAAAGTTTTATTATCATACAATATGACAGTTGATACACGAAAACTCTATCAAGATAAAAGGATATTAAGAATATTTTATTGGCTATTTTTTACTTTATATGCTAAGTAATTGTTAATGAACTCAAGGATTTTCTTTTACTATAATTGAAATAAATAATAGTTTCATCTGCACGAAATGAACAAGATCAAAATCGGTGATTGAATGGTATTTTCAGTTTACAAGATAATGATTCTCTTTAAATGCAAATATTTTCGAAATGACAAAATTTCAGAGTGCACGTGTATCATGAATTATAAAAGTTTTTATCATTTTGATTTATTCATTCATTTGGTATCTTTTTAAATAAATTATTTCAATTTCTCCAACAATATATCATAAATTTATAACAGTCACAGTTTGTGAATTTCACACTTTGACTTTTCATAGGATCGTCCTGAGAAGTTTTTATATTTTATTCAAGATTCGACTCATCACAATATCGAATCAGTTTGGTGTAGTCCATAATTTTCTATTCAGAAAAATTTCGGCTCAGACATTAAGACATCTGATATCTAAATCACACACTGATAATATATTTGATAAGATGCTTG